TCTTGTCTCTACTCGTTTGGTTTCCTGGGCTTCATCTCTTCCACATAACAACTCTGCTTAAAGCTGCAGTATGCAACTTCTACAAAAAAAATATCTTTTTTTTACTAATGTATTTATTGAAACTGTCATTATGTCAGTATGGCATGAGACGGATAATATGAAAAAATGAGCACCTCTGCTTTCTCCCAGAGGCAGATGAGAAAGCAGTGCTACCTAGAACAACCAATCAGAGCCAGGAGGAGTGTCTTAGTGCTGACCATCACATCTTCATGTGGCGATGCTTTATTTATAAATATATAACTCACAATCAACGATCTTCACTTCTTATGAAAATGCTATATATATTAAGTTAGAAGACTTAAAAGAAATTGGACTTCGATATTTAGCAGCTTGTAATTGGGCCTATGTCTCTTTTAGAAACTCCATCAAGAAGTCATCACAACATCACTGTTCTATCATTAAAGTTTTTACCAGTAGCTTCTGCAATGAGTTCAGAGAATATGTTTGCTAATTGCTGCTGGCTAGTCTTAAGGAGCTGCTCTGTCAGGACAAGGCTCCAAAGCTTGGAAACTGCACCTCGGAAACTGCAGCTCAGAGTAGAAGCTGCATCCACCCAGGCGGTTTGCACAGCTTAATGGTTGCCATGGGGGATAAAAGTGTTTCTCAAACATGCATGAACGAATCAAGACAACACGCCAAGTGTGTTTTTGATGAGGTAATAAAAATTTAACAATCTAAAGTTCAAAAGGTCAATTTAGTAATAATAATGTCCCTTTAATTTACATTCCAAAATGAGCATTTGCAAAGCAACATTTGTGAAGTTATTCAATTTCAAGCACAAACCATTCACCATGTGTGGACCAGTAAAATGTCCAGAAATGACACAGAAAATGGTGTCCACGATGCTAAAGCTAACAGAAAGTGACGGGAACATTGTCATAACAGAAAAATCAAGATTAGCTGGGAAGATATGGGTCAATCACGACCAATATGATCATCATCACCATGTGGAATAACACAGCAAATCCATGGCTTCAAATACTGGGCTGCTTTTAGTTTTGTACTGAAAATCCCAGACATAAACATGACCTTGAGATGAACACAATTTATCTGAAATCTGTCGGAGACTTCCAGAAAGTTTGGTGGATTTAGACAGACTGTGCAGAACCTGAGATCAGTGCATTGCCCATACAATCTCCTGGGTTTCTGGGCCGCTGGGGGGTCTAGCTCTCTCAAATGGCCGAGTTTTAAAGCAAACAACACACCAGTACTCCCACCGCAGAACATGGGATTCACTGAGTTACAGGCTGTAGAAGGCCACAGTCCGTGGGTTTAATGCACATTTTGTTTCTTTAGTCAGAAGCAGCAACACTTGTGTCAGCTGTAGCTACGGAGGAGGAGCAATCCTCTCTCTCTGTCAGAGAACCAGCTCTAAATCGACAACCTGGCAGTCACAACATGGAAAACAAAGAGCCAGCCCCGCAGTCTTCGAGGTGGAAGCACGACTAAACAGACCAGAGTTTCTGGAAACGGTTCCTGCCGTCATAACACAGCTGAAATGATGAACAGTGCTTAATAATAATAAAAAAACAAAAAAATGCTGAAATTGTTGTTTTGCTCATGCAAACACGTTGGGTACACTGGACTTCCTTCCTAGCAAGAAAAGTGTTCCTACTAACCTTGAATGTTTGCACATTCCACCAATCTCCAAACTTTCAGAGGCCCATAGAAGGGTGTACATCCTGTACACAGGTCCACACACACACACACACACACACGCGCACACACACACGCGCAAACACACACACACACGCGCAAACACACACACACACACACACACACACGTTTCTTGGCCAACCTTATTAGGACACTGCTCTGACTTCCATTTATTGTGGATAATGACACTATTTCTACAAATTACAAATACCCAAACAAACCCCTAAATGTAACCTACATGTTATCAGCCCTAATCCGGACCTCAGGCACTGCTTGGCCTTGCTTCATTCAAATTAGCTTGCTGATCATATTAGAAGTGTCCAATATGTTGATTAAAAAAAAAGTACAGGCTGACAAAATGCAGAGACTGAATCAGCATCTGAAATGGAGATCACGGTGGGCAGAGAGGCTCAGGTTTGTTCAGAGAGAACGAGCTTTCTGAGATTTCCTGTTGTGGCTAGATGACTTCAGTCGTACAGGCTTGTATGTGCCCCAAAATGTAACCACAATAAAAACAGAGCAGAGTACATTTCCTTTGTCTCTGTTAGTGAACACAATGTTTGTTCAAGATAACAAGAAGGTACAGGTCACAGAGGGTAGGGGGAGGCATGTTAAAGAGGCTCATGTTACCACTGGTTCCAAGTGGCCAGGTTGGAAAGCTGCAGCCCACCCAGTCTATTAAAAGATGTGAAACATATTCAGAGAATGTCAGCTCCAACCAATGACAGCTCAGCCGCAGACACGCCAATCAGGTCCTCAACACACATCAAGATCAAACCAGATACTTGGCCAAGTCTCAACTCAACACCCTGCCAGGGGAATGTTGTCGTTTTTCCACTTATAAAGTAAAAGCCAACGAGGTCCTGGGCGTTCAACGACGTTCTGGAAAGCTTTACATGTTATTCTTAATCTCAGATGGAAGGAAAACAATCACGTGACGAAGCAACAAGGGTGACTTAATGATTCAACTTGACATTGTCTTTTGATCCTGAAGCACTGACACAAATGTTTTCACAACGATAAGCTGAATATGGCCTATTGAGTTAATGACAGAGCAAACAAAAATTAAACTGAGGCGAGATAGCCATGCTTCCAGTTTTAGACTAAAAGATAAGCGGCCCAGTCAGAGAACAGTGGCGCATTTGATGTGTATACCGCTGAGAACGAGTAATACAAGTCTACGTGGAGTAATCCAGCGAGGCCCTGGAACAGAGGCTGCGGCTGGGTTGGACATTACATCACAAAAGATACTCAACCCAAAAAAAAACCAAACAGGAACTTCCTTTCTAATGATTCCCACTGATTTGTATTCCAAATGTGAAACAATTGTATCAGGCTGATGGTAATAGAATGCACAAATAAGAATTTTGATACATGCTAATTTTCTACTTCCACTTTGTGGACTGGAAACAGAAGAATTTCAAATTCAAGCACCAACAATAGAAAACCTAAGGGTTTGTTCATTATGACTATCACATTTTTCTGGCTCTAAGTGGTAGAAAAAAAAAAATCACCTTTCACTGTTAAACATCCGTCATTTCAAAGAGTGAACTGGTTAACATTTTTCAAAAGCACTCGACATTTAGGAACATTCATTAAAAACATTTCAAAGCATTATCTAAAGAAACTTTAGATATCACCTAAATACACAGTCTAACCTTGGTGTCATGAAAATATTTGTTTTCATATGCAATGGTTTTGCTAACATACCTGCTACAGTTAATCCTAAAGAGTTTAAAACGGGATGTTTTCTCTTCCTTTAAGGCCATATAAAGCTGAGATGGATAAATGTATAATTAATAACGTGTTTGCACACTTCTTCAATAAAGCTCGAGTTAAAACATCCTATAGCTGCCTATGCACCCAGAAACAGCAGCCCTACAATATTTCCTCACTCTGAAACAACGAATATGGAGGCTTAATAATGGAATACGGAGCTCTCCACTATAATATCACCCAGTTCTCTCAACCGCCACAGAGGCTGGGGGTTGGCTGGTTGGTGGGGGAGGTGAAGCAGAGCAAATAGACCAAAAGCTCTGGCCTTCTCAACACTAAACACATGCGTTCTAAAAAGAACATTAACTAGATAAAAACTATAAATGTGGCAAATAGTTGACTTTGAAACCGACAGTATTGCCAAAGACAGATTCACATCATGTAGCGAAACACCACGACGAGGCCGCATTAAACCTTACATCACTACAACGATAATGTAGAAAATAAGGATAGGAATGCATACTGTGTGCTGGTTAAGGACTGAATCTTAGAGCACACGCAGCGGAAGAACATTCACCAAGTTAGCTAAGGGCTAGCAACATTTGTTGCCCCGGCTGCTGTGCTAGATGCAGTTAGCAGCTAGGCTAAGAGTCGTCGAGAAAGATCCAACAGCAGATCGGGTCAAGGATTCTTTTCTAAAACTCCGACATATTGAACACCTAAAGAACATTTAACACCCTGTTGTCAAGACCCGGGGACATTAAATATTACTTTGGTAACCTTCTTAACGTTTAACCTGCGTCGCCTGTTTGTGAACTAGCAAACATAATAAACGCAATACACATCCAACATCCTAAGGCTTTACATTAATATTAAAAAGATACAAACAGGTTAGCCACTGTAGAACTAACGCTGTTTGGACTCTGTAATGGTGTAATGCCTCGTCCCTTTGTGGAAACAGTAAAGAAACTTACTGAAAAAACATTCAATATTATGGTATAAGTTTGCACTAATTTTGAGTTTTACTGGCTGTAATTCAAAAACAGACAATTCACTCGACTAACACTGCTAATTTTGATTTTAGGTTTGGAAAAAAACAAACATATTTTAACCAAAAATGTTTAAAGACATAAAAGTTGCATAATTTGAATGTGACGTCCGAACCGTGATTGTTCAAAATATTTGAACGCTGTATATTTGAAAAACTGGCAAAAAGAATAATTTGTGACGATGGAAGCAAACTAAAAAACAACACGAGGGACTGATCAAACAGCCAAGAGAGGACCATTCCAGTCACAGCCCAAAGCGCCCCTGGAAGGCATAACATCTATTTTACTTCCCATTTCAGCTGGCTAAACACTTCACATTAATATAGAAATACTGGAGAAATGCTCGAAATACTGTGAAGACAAGCAACTTGCTTGAAGAAACTTCAGTGGAGGCAGGTTATTTGCTTGCTAAGTTAGTTAGCCGAGCAGTCATGGCACAGAAAACATGGTTGATTTGTTTCAGATCTTGGTAAAAACTATTATACGTGCATTAAGATATTACATATTCAAAGTGCTTACCTAAAGAGTCATTCCAAATTCCTTAAAAACAAGGCAACGATAATGTACTATGGAAGTCCTTGGAGTATCCCAACATTAATTCCAATTAGACCAGTAGGCCTGGATATCCGCCTCGGAGTCTCCTGTATCCTTTGCCCTTACAAGTAGCTCCCTCTTCAAGGGTAAGAAACAAAGTTCTCAGTATCTCCCAAAAAATGTCGGAAAGTTAAATCCCCTGTCTTGTTCAGGTGCGCTACATCCATTGGTGTCTTTTATAAATCCCCGGTGAACAATTCCAATAATGTTAGTGTCTTGTATATTTACAGTTGCTGTTTATTATGGGGTATACACTGCTGTATGTGATACGGGGCTCCGATTCTGTGTCGGGTCCTTACGCTCACCGAAGCGCCCATCCCCCTCCTCGCCGGTATTCACCACAGGCACCATCGAAACTGACACACAATCAAGCCACGGGGCTTCCCAGGCGGCCGTGCAGGGGCATGCTGTTTGGGCGGCCCTTCCAGATGACCCGCCTCTTGCCATTGATTCGACAGTAATATGCGGCTCATTTGTTTTACCCGAAATACCTTGAAGCCATTGGCGAATGAAGCTGTCGGTTACTTCTTTCCATTTGCGGAGTAAAATAGGGCGAGTACGGCTTCAGCGAGGAACTTGTTTTCTCTTGTATTAGAGTGGTGAAGCACACGGAGAGGAGCATGAGTAACTGGATTCGCAAGGCAGATTTCTGCTCAGCAAAGGATTTATATCTACCACGATGCGGGACATTTTCTTTATAAAAATAACATTCCAACGGAGCTAACTTCATTTCTATAGTGGGATTACTTCTTTTTGTTTATAAGATATATTTCTTTCGGAAGGATCGCTCTTGTTGATACATAATGGTAATGGTTAGCCATACGGGGTCTCTTGGGCTCAGTTTCAGGGCTCCAAGAGGCAGGGTTCGCCCACTAGGTCAGCCCCACCTACCGGTTTGTCAGTTCAACGGAGTATTACATGTGGCGTTGTGTGTGTTTATTGAGTGGCTGGACGATGAAAGTGGCCATCTCTCCTGTTTTGGACTGTTTGTAACCCCTTTGCAGAAATAAACAGGACGGAAACGAGTGGCTCAGTAAGATTTTAGAGGAATTTTCTGAGGTTGGCCGAGGAACATGGTGTCCTTCGGCTCTAAATTACAGAAAGGATGTATGTGTTTCATCTTACATTCTGGCACACTGTAGAAAGGCGACACAATAATCAGATCATTGAACCGACGCCTTTCAATACTTATCAGAGGTATTATGTAAATTGTCGTGGTGACGCGATTGGATTTTTGTCATGTCATGAGACTTGGAGACAGCTTTGGATTGGACACGCTGAAAAATGCCGACGTCATTTGTTGCAGAGGCGTTGACAATACAGTGAAACTCACATGTTGTCAGCGGATTGAACTGCAGGATCTGTGATCAGATTTAACAGCAAAAAAACGGGCTCAATTTTGTTAACATGCAATTTAAACGTCTTTTACAAAAATAAAGCCTTTTACCAGTGACACTGGTAGGACAAAGACTTCTTATTCAACGCTTTTCTGAATTTAAGGTCTCAAATGTGCATGTAAATGCCTTTAATTAACAAAAAAAAGGCCCCTGCACTCAGGGGCGGGGAAAAACTAAAATCTGGCAGTGCAACATAGTTATTTCCTTCCCACAACCTTTCCATACCCACAGTGCCAATGGGTCATCAGGTAATCTATGGGTGTAAAATAAGCACAAAGTCCAGAGTGGTTGTAATGTTGAAGTGTTTTAATGATCACCTGTCTGACACAACAAAGCTATGAATAGTATACCACAGTCTTCAAATGTCTGTCAACTTTATAATTCATATTGTAACATTTTGTATCATGCATTTTAACACTGCAGAACAAACACTGTAGTTTCAATGTACATTGTGACACTATAATCAACAACATGGGCTTGGCAACCCATAAATTCTTTATTATGCCCCACAAATACACTTTTTTGTTTTTTTAAAGAACCTATTAAAGAACCTAAACACATCATTCATGGCAGCAGTATTTAGAGCAAGTCCAAATGTTTGCAGGGTAAGCTTTGGTGCCAGGTTGAGGCTTCTTTAAATGTTAAGCTGGAGGGGGAGGTTGAAAACAAAATGGAAGATTTACTCATTTTGCCTTAAACAAAAACCAGCAGCTTCTTATTTTGATAAAAATGGCACATCACATGGCCATAAAAAAATACATGAATACAGCCATAACACCACAAATGATATTATATTAACAGGAAACTTCAGCTGTACACAAACACCACCATTAAAATCTTCACATGAACGTCCCATCAGTTACTCTGTATTAAACTGTTACCATTTGAGGGAGAAACATGAACCAAAGAAATCAACTGTTTTGCTAGTAGGTGGTCTCCCAGGAATGTCTGATTAAGCAGCTGAGGGGAAAACTGACAGAAAGAGGAACAGTGCTGAGGGAGGACGTGTTTTCTGGGTTTTTTTTTTGTTTGTTTTTGTTTTTTTAATTATTATTCTGAAAGGTTTTTTAGCTCATGCTTGACTGCAGTTCTCCTGCTGCTAAGAAAGGCTGCCCCCTCCTGGTGGTTGTGTGTCACTGCAGAGACTTGTCTCCAAACAACTCAAAGCAGCTTCAGGCTGCCGGTGACGTTGTTCACCATCTCCTCTGCTCCCATGATGGCCAGGACGGTGCGGGAGCCGGACTCCACCTGCAGACACCGTTGTTACTCCAACATGTACGCAGAAAGACGCGCTGCGATATTTACACTATTAAAATTTTGAGGTTTTTTTTTTTTTTAGACAGCTACCTGGGTGAGACCTGCATCCTGGACCAGGTAGGTGGGCAGGTTGAGGCTCAGGGCCAGGGCCTGCAGCTCCAGCAGGTGAGCCACGTTAGTGCCTTGGAGCACCACCTTCTTGGCCCTGTTATGAACACCAAACTCATTCGCATCCTGAAAAGAATTTCACTAGGAACACTTTTGCAATTGTTAAATAAAATGGCATTTTAAACCCAAATCTGCTGCTGATGTTATTTGCACCTTTTGCAAACCAAACCAACGTGGGGAGCCAAAAGCCACAGTGGCACTTGGAAACAGGAATGATGAGTGGAGAATCACACAAACATATTAATGCTATCCTGACGGGAAAAACACAGTTTTTACAGAAAGTTGTAAACTAAAAATACAATTTACAAGCTAATTATCTCAATGCGCAAAGAGAATGAAACAAATATCAGCAGGATGAACAAAAAATCTATCAGGTTGTGGTTTTAAATTAGCCACGATCTGCATGGGCCTTACCCATTCTGGTCCCACTTCCAGGCCATCTCCCGCCAGCTGTTCTTCTCCTGTAGAGCCTGGTACAAACCCACCGCAGCATGGCCCACCTGGGCTGCAATCTGCACACACAATCAGCACCGACTTCAGTAGCTCCCAAACAAAAAATAAATAATTTCTTGTTGGAATCTCTGCCGTGGAGACTTAATGTTAGACTCAAACGATCTCAGAACTCAGAAACAGCAATTTTAGATGAAAACCTGCTTAATTGGCAGAAGGTGTGCTTTCTTTTCACCATTACCTTTCCAACACCCATGCCGAGGTCCATGTTAACCACAAACACCATCTTGAACAAGAGGTCCTCGTCCCCCCCCTCCTCCTGTGTGTTAGACCCAAGACAGACACACACTCAGATTTGGTTTTGGACAATCTCTACTGGGTCTAACGTACCAATGTGTACCTGCAGGGGACTAAGGCTAGCTTATGGGCACCTCATTCTCCAGTTTGTTGAAGTAGTACATGGCCGCCTCCTCAGCCGACACGTTCCGAGTGTGCAGTAGTGCCTGGAGCGAGGAGAAGTAACAAGAAAGGTCAGGAAAAACTGTACACATCTATTATTCGGTGAAGTCCGCATGTCAGCAGTACTGCCCCACCTGTTTTGCTGCCTCCTCAGGGATGTCCAGCTCTCGGAGCTGCTGCAGGAACACAGGGTTGACCTCCTGGGAAGCCCAGTTTGATCCAGTGTCCTCTGATGGCTCCATCGCTAACTGTAGAAACAGAGCTCCAGTGAGAACAGCTGTCCAAATTGACTGGAATGTTTTGCCCAAGCTATGTGGAGGAATATATGAATATAGCTCACATCTGCTTGAAAGGACTAAAGTGTAAATCTGTTCATCACTGATGTTGTTGGCAACAAACGTTTTATTTAAAATATAATTGGCAGTTGACAGCCAGGACTGAAACAAAACCAATAATTAACGGTCAACTGCGTGACGTCTTAACAAAAAGACAAGTTTAACAAAAATGTTATGAGTAAACGTTATTATAGTTTCTCTAACAATGCGTCTTGAATTGACTTTCAAAATGTGAACGGGATGTTCAGGACACTTCCAATGAATGGAAGCGTTAAGCACAAAGCTAGCAGCTGTAGGCTACATTAGGTTAGCAGCACTTTGCGCATTAAGCCCCTGTTCGCTCACAACTGAAGGTAACGCCAGTAACATTTTAGCTTACATGTTAACGTTTGGTAACCTTTGTTTATACCTTTTCGGGAAATTTATCACAACGCTTTTTCCTAACAAATAGCTACATAGCCATTTTTCCTGAGTAGCGGCAAGAGTTAGCACTAGCCTGAGGCAGAACCTAGCCTAGCTAATGGCCTATTGTTACCTGTTTGTCACAGCTTGCTCTACAGCAACAGCAGCGCTGATTAAGTGTCTCCGAAGATTTAATATTACACAACACACATAAAATTAAGTTATTTATAAAATTGCTTTCGATGACGCTCTCTCCGTGTTCTATGTTACATTACTCCATTCTTCCATTTTGAGGCCTTTAGTCTCTGCGTATCGTATGCTGCCCCCTGGCGGGCGGAGTGATATTCTCATGATGGCATCAGAGGCTTATAAATAAATAACTTAAGTTAGTAAAGTAAATAAATAATTTAAGTGAATAAAAAATGAAATACTTTCATCGAGATTCGGATTTTGTTTCGCTTAGGGTCTCTTTATCCCGATCCCCGAAAGTGTTTTATGTCCACGACTGCATTAATCTTGTAGATAAATTAGGTTTAATTCATTACCCTGCGTTATTCTAATAAGTGAAATACACCGGAAGCAGAATTATGAGGAAGGTGACAAAGATTATGGCAGACAGTACTCTTCCCTTGAAATCCTTATTTGAGCTGCTTCCTTATTCTCAAGAAACAAGATAACATTTTCTTTCATACCGCAAGCATTTAAATCATTAAACAGTAAAAAGGTATCATAGATTACCAACCAATGTTAATGTCATTGTATATTTGTCTATGTAAATACTGTTAAAAGTAAAGAGGGGAATGGAAACGTCTTTTGAGGAATAATTTATATATATATATATATATAGCACAATTTGGTGATTATTTGTGCATTTTGATGACAATGGACCAAAAGTGATAATAAGGTAGCATAAATGTTCACAAAATTAAAAATGTGAGCCTATTAAGAACAAGAAAGAAGACCTGGAGTGTCAAACTCATTTCATTTTGGGATACATCTACATCATGGATGTCCTCATAGGGCCAGTTGTGAGAGAATGTTCAGATAAAACTACCTACTAATAAATTGTTAAAATATAGCTTTCTCTGGATTCAGTTTGTAATTCTTCATAAATAATTGAATTGCGTCTTTTCACATAAAAAACGTTATTCCTGCGGAGATGATTCGCCTCTGAGAACAAGGTTGTCCCTCCTCGGCCTCCGTTACAAGATTTAGCAACGTATATGCGGTGGGCCAGATTTGTCTTTGATACGGCAGAAACCCTACCCTGGCCCATTGGACCGAACTGTGACCAGGACTGATGGCTCGTCGAAATCGACTTCGCTCGGCAGATTGATAAATAGGGTAAATATTTGCTTACGAGCTGCTTGTAACAGGGAGGACTCTGGAAATGAGCGTCAAATGTGTTCCTGTGATTAGCAGTTACTGCAACGGGGAAGCTTCGAGACGGTAATCTGCTGCTCACCTTAACATGTGCTAGAAGGAAAACATTATTAGCTTTCAAAATACGAGGTTCTAGCACATGCATAGTCCTGACAACGTGGGACTGAAGTACACTGGGGAATCCAAGTTATTATATTAATAATAATGATGACTTCTTCTTGGAAGTTAAAGTTTTAGTAAATATTGTTTTTGTTCCTGCGTGTCCACAGATAATCCATTATCGCGATAACAAGTATCTAGTATTTAATATCTCTTTAAAGCACGCAGCGATGACAAGAGGCCCGCTATTTTAAAGTTTGCTTTAAAAGAACCGTTGCGAACACTAGATGGCGCTATTCGCTTATTACTACATGTTGAGCAGTGCTGGAACTGGGAGGAAACCTGAAATGAGGACACTTACGGCAGTGTTAAACGTGACGCGCATAAAACGTATTTTGTCTTCATGTTGTTCCCATTTGTATTAGGATCCTTTGTTTGTGATTGAATTATAAAATTAAAATGACTTGTTTGACGTTTATTGTGTGTTGGTGCTATGTAGATGAACTGACCTGAATATTTTCTCTTCTAGTCCATTCTAACACTCTGCTCCCACTCTTTTTTCTCATCTTTTGTCAGTTACTCCACTGTACCTTTGGGGGACCTCACCCCCTCCCCTTCCCCATCCTCAGGCAAACCCGTCACCCACCCAGCCCCCGTTTCCCTTCTTTCCAGCCATACCTAAGCCAAAGCTGCCACTGCCAAGCTGTCGGACATGTCGGGGCCTTTGCCAAGCCGGGCACGAGTGTACACAGAGGTCAACACTCATCGCCCGAGGGAATACTGGGACTATGAGTCACATGTTGTGGAATGGGGGTAAATGACTCGGGGCATTTTATGATCAACACTTTCAAAGTCCTCGTCGAGAAAAGTGATGACATTTCCTCTCGTTCTTTCTTCAAAGAAATCAAGATGACTTTCAGTTGGTGCGCAAGTTGGGACGTGGCAAGTACAGCGAAGTGTTCGAGGCAATAAACATCACCAACAACCAGAAGGTGGTGGTAAAGATCCTAAAGGTAAGCCCTACCGGGACAATGCCTTAACAAAGTGAAAGGCTGATTTTTCTAACGCTGCTTAACGATTTCTCTTTTAGCCAGTGAAGAAGAAGAAAATCAAACGCGAGATCAAGATTTTAGAAAACCTGCGTGGAGGTCCTAATATTATTTCTCTCATCGATATAGTAAAGGACCCCGTAGTAAGTACATATGGCACACTTTGGTTTGTTTTTTCTGTTTACGACAGTAATTATTATTAGGGTTCTGAAATGTCACTGCTGTACCAATAGAGTTGCCAACCTACCACTTGCACCAGCTTATCGTTTTCTGTGGGGCTTGGGAAATGTGTGTTTGTGAGTATATGGTTAAGTGAGTCCTGGCTATGGATAGATTTATGTGGTTGCAATGCAAGTAGTTTTAAATCAGAGGTGTCCAAAGTGTGGCCCCAGGGGCCGTTTGCGGTCCTCGATGACGTTTCCATAACGCCCTAAATTTGGTTCTCCAGCTCAGACAATGTGCAGAGACATATTTTTAAAGGGGCAGTACTGTGTTTTCCAGCAACATAGCATCATTTTATACCACAGTCAAATAGTTATCTTACCTTCAGTTGTTAAAATATGATCATCATCATCATACATTGTGAAGAAAAAAAAGATCAACCCAACAAATGTACAATGTTTGCTGCTGTTTTATTCCTTTTAATTGGTCAAACCTTCCTCTTTTTTTTAAAGTTTCGATTCTACACTGTCCTACAGAAATCAAACTACTCTGCTTGTTTCATTAAAATAATATAACAATGTGTTTAGTTTGTTGATGCTCATCAGTAGGTTACAACTTTAAATTTGTGGCCCCCCAAGCCAAAATAAGTTTGGACACTGCTGGTCTTAATGTTCCTGGGCTCTCTCATAAGAAGTACATTTGCAAAATAGGTAACTATCCCCAATTGAATTGATTGAAAAGTAGAGTTCTGGTCACTTTACACAGAAATGTTTTGGTTGGATGAGCAGCAGCAGCGTTCTCCGTAGCTTGCCACACTAGCTAGAGGAGTTTAGCAGCTTGACAAATTGACTGGCAGCCAATCAGAAAGATCGTTATTATAATCACTAATGCAGGCAGTGGAGTAACTAAACATCTGACACACACAGAGCAAGAAAGAGGAGGAGGCTCTGAGATAGAAGGAGTACAAACTCCTCTCATGGTCGCCACCAAAAAGTAAATGTAGCAACAGGAAATGTTTTTAACGTGTTTATGTGGTAGAATAAACCAGTAAGGTCTCAGGACAGAGAATTTAGATCAAATCAAGAAGAGAGTCTCAAACACAAACGGTTTCATAAAGTGCAACAGGAAGTGATGTAATACGTCTCATCTAATCACAGCACCATGCTCGCGTTTTGACCTATTTCTGTCATGTTGCATGTTTCCCGGAGAGAGCCCTGCTATGATTATTAGTCACCCAGGAAACGACTGGCCATGCTTATCAATATAATGAACCTTAAAAACATCCCAGTAGATTTGTACCCAGTGCTATTAGTGTCTGCACGTCCACAGCTTCCCTTCCTGTTTGAGTTTATGCAGAGGCTCCGGCTACATAGATAAAATGGTTTTAAATTGACAAAACTCAAATACAAACCAGTTTCATTCTGGATTTTCTTTTTTTAGTCCCGGACACCTGCTTTGGTCTTTGAGCATGTAAACAACACAGACTTTAAGGTGAGAACAGGACTTTAACTTAACTGTTTCTTCATTGTGGTGCATGACGTTGTAAGTCTTCATGTGCTGCTCTCCGGTGTGTGTGCGTGTGAGTGTGTTGTCTTTTGATTTCATTTTTTGATAAGTTCAACTGTCATGATGCAGAGTATTGTTATTGTACGTACTTTATGAATGTGTGTAATCAGTTTAAAATTGCTAATTTAATGACTGTTTTGATCTGTAGCAACTGTACCAAACTCTGACAGACTATGACATTCGCTTCTACATGTACGAGATCCTCAAGGTGAGCGCTTTGTTTTGTGTGCTTGGAAAATGACGCAGTCAAACAGCCATAAACAACAGTCAACATAATGTTTGCTTCAACAGTTGAGCCTCGAATTATTCGTACTAGGAATGAAACAGTTATTGATTTTTATTGACTACCATGATAAGAGTCCTGCCGTTTGTAAAATTAAATTTCCATTAGAACCGTAAGCAACGGCTGACTTTTTATCACAGCCTCTCAGATAAAAACTGGCATTTCAACAACAACAAAAAAAGACAGAACTAAATGTCAAATGTATCTATCTTATGTCTAGCCTTTTACATTTCATTAAATGTCAGCATTGTAGCCAACGGCCTTATGGTATTATGACTCTTACTTGAGTAAAATTTCTGGATTCTCAACCCACAGAATGAAGAACAAACACATTTTAACCAAAACTTCACCAGACACAGACACACAGCTGATGTTTTTGTTAAAGTTTAATAAGTTTTTTTTTTTTTATTGTTATTATTGAAATAAACTGATTTGGAAAATTGTCCTTTTGCATGCTTTCTTATTTTATCTTCCTTACATAAATTACTGCCATTTGGGTCTTTAAAATACCAAAATTCCCACTTAACTTTATATTTTTGCTTGCCTGATGATGCAATTTTTAAATATTAGCTGAAGATGATGATGATCAGTTACTCGGTGAAAACATCTGGCTGTATTTTTTTTTTTGTCCATTTACCTTTTGTACGTCATCCTGTATGTGTGTAAACGTCATGTTTATGCCATGTCGTCTGCAGGCTCTCGATTACTGCCACAGCATGGGAATCATGCACAGAGATGTGAAGCCACATAACGTCATGATCGATCACGAGCATCGAAAGGTCGACAAGACTACCAAAATCTCTCCATAATGTGTGACCAACACCAGCGTTTTCTTTCATACGTTTCTGTTTTATGATGGTTACATTGAATTGTCGAAAGAGACAGAATCGGTTTGCACGCGCTAAAGAAAAACCTGAATAATCAGACATCGAGGATGGCCAGTAAAAACCCAACAGGTCCGTCACGATGGATCGTAACGTCCTGTTTTTGCTCTCGCAGCTGCGGCTTATTGATTGGGGCCTGGCAGAGTTTTACCATCCAGGACAGGAGTACAATGTGAGAGTCGCCTCGCGCTACTTCAAAGGACCTGAGCTCTTGGTGGACTACCAGGTACGGCTGAGGGAGGGATTTCATGTTAGCTTGTATTACCTAGCCAGCAGCTAGATTCTCACTGAGCATCATGTGACGCATGTAAAGCAATTACTATGTATATATTTTTAAACTCGAGCAAAACCTTTAGTCAATTAAAATGATCATTTAAACTCTATTTCCTGTTGTGTAGTACTAAAAACCAAAAACTCATAACCAGAGATTTGAAATGAAAAATGATGAGCGAGGCGCCGTTTGTTGCTTCTTTTGAATGTTAGAAAAGCTGGTTGGCCAGATCGATACTGAAATATCAATACTTCTGATATCAAACCTTTAATCCTAAAGATCGATTCTCAAATCCAAATATCAACACTTTCAATATTTCAGTCATTTGAGATAATGTAGCAGAACAAGAGCATGTTAGAAAGTGTCTAAATTGTTGAGATTTTGCCTAAATGACACAGGGTTGACATGGAACTACTTTTTCTTCCGCCTGGTAAGTGTGTAATGCACAAAGGATGTAATGTCCAAGTGCTGCTGCTGCTCAGTCAGACATGGATCTGTTTCAGCTTTCATTTTGTAGTAGTTCTTAAAAATTACACAGGGATTTATTTTAGTAGGAGTATTATTTTACTAATTTTCTTTTTTTTTAAGTTTGAAACATTTTGACATATTTTGTATGATTTTCCACTGTTGTTAAAGTAGCTTAGATATAATAAATGATACTGCTATGTCAAAGTACTTCTAAGTTTAAAATAAATACATTTGAGTGATGTCTTGTGGTCTTTTTATGAAGCCAGGATTTTTTTTTTTTTTTTTTTTTTTTCAGATTTAACAGGCAAATTAAGTGTTTTTGTACAAAGTATCGGATCAGTATCGTTGATACCGGCTTCGATTTTACTCTGTATTGGATTGGAAAGGAAATCGGTGCCATCAAGCATCACTAGTGCCTGGTTTATTTTTGACTGAGTTGTTAGTTTTGCTCTTAAGAAGTGTGTCTTCCCTTTGACGGGAGGACAACAAAAGCAGATACTGATCTAAACGTTGAGAATTACTACAGGCTCCGCCCATATGTTTGAATTTTGAACTATTATCACTTCTTGTTGTTTCGCACCACGAGTTTACAATATAAGTGAGTTAAAAATAGGCATTTTGAAAAGTGATGTTGGAAATGTTTGGGTTTGTTCCATGTTTTAAACAGTTCAGGTACTTTAACTCTTCCACTCTGTGTTGCAGATGTACGACTACAGTCTGGACATGTGGAGCTTGGGCTGCATGTTGGCCAGCATGATCTTCAGGAAGGAACCATTTTTCCATGGTCATGACAACTACGATCAGGTAAAGTGCACTACATTTCTTTTCTACGATGTTTTAGCTGACTCTAGTGTAAGGTAAGGGTGCACCTTAATTTATGTGATACTTGCATGTGAAGCTGATCTTATCTACCTCAACAAAGGTCTAAAAATCATCCATTGTTCTCTTCTGTTTTCCTGTTAGAGAGGTTTGGCCTTTAGCCCCGCCCACCAGGTCATGTCTGCACATTTACAGACATGTAAATAGTCACCTCATTTTTGCTACTTAGCAACTTTCCTGCTACATTTATCAACATTTCTGACAAAAAAAAAATGGTGTCGGCCAAAATCGGATTTAACTTTACAATTTCCAAATGTAAAGTTAAGTTTAAATTTTGGCAATTTAAGGATGAAAATAAACAAAACCTGTGTGTGTGTGTGTGTGTGTGTGTGTGTGTGTGTGTGTGTGTGTGTGTGTGTGTGTGTGTGTGTCTGGAGAATTTTTGGTTAAAACATGTTTGTTCTTCATTCAGTCAGTAGAGAATTCAGACATTTTAGTAGAAATATTTTAGAATAAAATGACTCAAGTAAAACTAAAGTGTACAGCAAACGGCTGGTTGTTGATCTTTGACAGTTCATTTGTCGTTATTTAGCTCCTGTTTTGTGGGGCTTTTATATTTTCCCCTGTCACAACTACAGTTTTTAAAAGGAGTGGCTGACCTGGACTGTGACTTCTGTTTTCAAAAGCTAAGTGGTTAGCGGTTACCTCAGGATGTGTGAGATGACAGCGACTACCTTTTTTTGTTGTTTCTTTGCTCTTTGATCAGAGAGTCACAGTTCACCACTGGAATTATAACGTTGGTTAATAACAGATTTAAATTTTTGCAGTGTATATCGCGTATTCTCAGAAATATATTCTGAGGGTGTTTTTAGGCCTACTGCCCACACTATAATTCTTGTAATTTTCACATGTATTTTGAAGCTTATCTTTCTCATCAACAAGGTTTATTTTTTATTTCTCTACTGACAAGATTGTTTGTTTTGTTCTCATGCAGTTGGTGAGAATAGCCAAAGTTTTGGGAACAGAAGACCTCTACGATTATATTGACAAGTACAGCATCGAGCTGGAACCTCGCTTCAATGACATTCTGGGAAGGTACGAGTTGTTTCCCTCAGAGACGGGATGTTAAAGACGGCCTGCTGGTTACTGCTGGCCTTTTCTGACCATGACATCCACTGGTGAAGCTGGATCTACACTGCAAAAACACACAATCTTACCGAGTAATTTTGGTCTAGTTTTTGCTAGTTTTTAGTTCAAATATCTTAGTACATTTGAAATAAAATGAAAATAAC